GAACTAGAAGTCTCTGTTGAAACTTAAACTATACAGAGAAGAGTAAAAATCACTACAGAAAATGGAACAGGATATTCAAGAATTGTCAAAAAAACTAGTGTATGCATGATGGGAATTTTAGAAGGAAAATACAAAGGAACATTAAGAGTTGTTCAAAATTGGTAATAGATGTCAAAGCCCAGACCTAGAAGCTTGGATAATAGCAGCAGGCACACCCCAAACTACACAAAAGTACATTCAAACTGCAGAAAATTCAAAAGCAGTGACAATCTAGAGAGTGGCTGAGAGGGCCAGGGAACACCTTACGGGAAGGAACACTTCCTTTAGAAACCATTTAACATTTAACTAGATAGGGAAAAAACCCTACTAATGTGGAATTCCCTGGTGGAAGTGTCTCTTACTGCAGGACAGAGGCACAGCTTCACACTCACATGCAGCAGATTGAAGATTTCCTTCATCCTTGAGGTTCTTCTGCTCTGGTTAAATAAAATGCTTTGCTTTGCCACAGAATAGAATTTCAAAAAAAGCCAGTATAAAGTAGAGTTGGAGTTTATTAAATATACATTTTTGATGTATATCCTAATTATGAGCATTAAGAGGAATAGAGGCACTCAGGAAGAAAGTAAGGCCCACACCAAGAGCAGGAGTGTGGGTTTCTCAAAGAAGGGTCAAAGACACATTTTACTGTCTTAGTGGTGACTGTAGGAATTTGGAAAAATTTGGAATTTTGTTCAGTTACCTTCCAAGGCTCCCTCCCTCTTCTGTCACTACTGTCTTAGTTACCTTTCTATTTCTATTAAGAGACATCATGACCAAAACACTGAATTGGAGCTTGCTTACAGTTTCAGAGGGTTAGTTCATGACTATCATGGTATAGAGTAAGAAGGTATTCATGGGGCTGGGGCAGTAGCTGGGGGTTCACATCTCCACAAATACCAGGCAGAGAGAACTGACTGGGAATGGCATGGTCTTTTGAAGTTTTCAGTGGCAGATTGCATCTAACAAGGCCACACCCAATCCCTCCCAACAGTTCCACCAACTGGGGCCGGTATTCAAGTATGTGAACCTGTGGGTCGATTCTCATTCAAACATCTATCACCACATTTGTGATAAGTTTGTTTTGTTAGCTTGGATTATAAGATGGTACTGGAGGCTTAGGTGGGTTTACAGTCCGATTTGATAAAAGTAGTGCTGCATGAGGGAGTTAGGACAGATCCAGTCACTGAAATGGGGGTTGACGTGGTTTCTAAATTACAGGTTTATAGCTGGGAAGGGAGAAGAACCTGAAGCAAATGCTGCCAATTTTGTTGGAATTCTTGATTTTCTGCTGTTGAGAGGCTTCAGTCTGTACTTTTTCATGTCTATCCTATCTTTTTAAATGTAAAGATGAAATTATTTCTTAGGTTAACAGAGAATTTGCTGCTAATAGATGCATTTTAAATGTTAAAATTTACCAATGTTACAAGTTCTTTAGATGGTAGGAAAAAATATTGGCTAGAAACTTGGTTTGACCTGTTGCACTTTGTTGTTACTTTGTTATCCTTGGGTTATGAGAAGGTGTGATTGACATCCTAGTCCCTTCTTCTGAGGACTTGGCATGCTTGCAACCAGAACTCATCTATGGAACAATACGGACTGCAGCTTAATTAATTGTTGACCAACAAAAGAACTAGACGCTCAGATGTGGATGCCCAGTAATCCCAGCATTGGAGAAACAGAGGGAGGAAACTCAGGCAACCTGGGTTATGTAACTAGACATTCAAAAACCAAAACAGCAAAACCACAACATCAGAAAAAGAAGACTGGATTTTCTTGAGCCTAGGCTGTGTCGTTGTCAGTAGGCTTTGAAACGCCCACACCAGGCCCTGTCTGCCTGCCTGCCTGCCTGCCTGCCTGTCTCCCTCTTCCCCCCTCCTTCCCCTCTCCTCCCTCCCTCTGTCCCTACCCACCCTCCCTCCCTCCCTCCCTTCCTTCCTCCCTCCCCCTCCTCCCCCCTTTCTCTCTCTCCCTGTGGGTCAAGGATCTAAAGCTCTTAGCTCCTTCCTTACCACCGTGTCTGTCTGCTTCCCACCATGAAGATAAATGGACTAACTCTGAGCCTGTTAGCAAGCACCCAATTAAATGCTTTCGTTTAAAAGACAAAGAGGAACCGAAAGTTTACATAGAGCAACTGATTGCTCTGACCTCCTAGCTGAGATGCTGCTGCCTATGAGCTAAGATTGGGATGAGACTCATTTTGGGGCAGGAGTAAGATGAAGAAATCAGTCAGATCTTGGTCTCTAAGACACCTTAGTCAGAGATCTGTGCCATCGTCATGGAACCACTGCTTGGTTCAAAAGAGTGGAGCTGAGCAAACATTCTACTGAAATAGAATGAATATAGAAATTTGAGTTACATACTCTGTTATTTCACATGGATCAGGATTCTAGGCTCACCCTTGTTTGTATGACATGTAGTAACATCTGCAAGTAATGTCTGGATTGAATAAGAGTATACTATATATTTGGTATATCTATGTACCAAAATGTTTTAAAAGGGTTGGTTGTCTCAATGGTGCTGGTGCTTTCAATTGTGGTCACACTGTGTAGAATGACCTTCTTATGAGCAGACCAGAAGCAGCGACATATTCAAATAGGGCAGGCAGGTGGGAAGGTGAAGATGGGTCCAGAGACCTTCCTAAGTGTGCCCCTGTAGCGTCTGCCCTAGGTGGCCTCAGGTGGAAGTGGACCTGCACGCATATGGAACTCAAATGCAGGCTGTTCTGGAGCAGGAGGGAGGGGCAGTAGAGCGCACCCCAGGCTTGGTGGTTGAGCCGGCTGTGCCCCAGGCCGGAAGGGTAAGCAGGCTACACTCCAGACCGGAAGAGTGAACCAGCTGACTTCTCTGGCAGCAGTCTCCTCACACCATTCCCTCTACCACCTAGGCACCATGAAGTTTCGGTCCAGGATCACCAGCACGCGTTTTATAGAGCTCTTCATTCAGGTCAGCAGCACCATAGCAAAGCTGACTAAAGTCTGTGTGCTCCGTGTGTGCCCTGACAGGCTGTACTTCTGTCCCATGAGGCTGCATGGTGAGGCCCAACTGTGGGGTGAGGTGAGGCGGAGTATCTTCCAACACTTCTGCATGGAGGGTGTTTCGCAGGAGTTCAATGAAATCTATCTAGAGTTGATGTCTGAGCATCTGGCCAGAGCCGTGAAGAATGCAGGTAACGCTTCATCTCTGAAGCTCCAGCTCACCAACAAGCTACGCCCCTGCCTTACTGTGGTGGTGGAACTGGCGTCTTGCCCCGGCCACTCCCGCGCTATGGTCCACGATCTGCCTGTGAAGGTGCTTCCCAGAAGGTGGTGGAAAGAATACATAGAGCCCCAAGTTCGAGGTTCTGATGTGAGTGTTTATCTGCCAGCTATGAAGACCATGAAGACCATGGTGGAAAGGATGGCAAACATGGGCAGTCATGTGCTGGTGGAAGCAAATCTAAACGGCAAAATGAACTTGAGTGTGGAAACTGATGAAGTGACTATTAAAAGCTATTTTAAAAATCTTGGAAATCCTCCAAATGCCGTTCTGTGTATGTCTCATTGCAAAGACTCAGAGAACATGGTGCAAGTTCGGGTGGATAATAGGAAGCTTCTACAGTTTTTCGATGGACAGCAGATAAACCCCACAATGGCCGTATGTAATATTCTGAGAGATACTCTGCTTCATCTTATTTTGGTTCATGAAGATATTTCTCTTCAATATTTTATTCCTGCTTCATGAATTTCAAGCAGCCTTGATTTTCTTTTTTATAGAAATATTAATTTAAGATCTTTCCAGAACTGAGACTTTGAGTTACTTGTGTTAAAAGCCTGCAACCCCATGGATTTTGTAGGGTGTTTATTTTGTTGAGTGCTTCCTTTATAAAATGTTAAGAAACAATTGGAGAAATAATTGAAAGTTCATGTGATTGTTTTTTGGTTTTGGCAATTACATTATGTTCAACTTAGTTGTTTTGGAAAAAAGGATTGTAATAAAATAATATAACTGAATCTTGAAACAATTATTGTATTATTTTATTATGAAATAATATTGTGAAGAATGAGACGTTTCTCCTTTTCAAATAAACAATTTATTTTGAGAGACTTAATGAGTTCAATCTCTCCGAAAGGTATATGATGGATTTTGTATGTACACCACATATTCAGAGAGATAAGCAACTGTTTTCTGAAGGTTCTCAATAGGAGTCTTGACATTACTGGCAATAGCCATTTCAGAGAATTTAAACTCTCAATTTTCTTTCTCACTTCTGAGTCAGAAGTGTACAATTGTTTGGTTTGGTGAATATTTAAAATAAATGTGAGAACTATTTGTAAAAGCTATTTTGAGAAAGCTTCGGGATCTTCAGGTTGTGTGTGTCTATGTCTGTGTTGTAACACAGACATGCTTTGTGATTTCTATTGGTAAGCTCAAACACACTGACCAAGGCAACTTATAGAAAGGAGGGGTTTGGCTTATGGTTTTTAGAACAATAAGAATCCATTATGGCAGGGAATCTTGGCAGCAGTTGACAGTCATGGTACAGGAATAGCTAAGAGCTCAAACCCTAAACTTTGTGTAGGAAGCAGAGCTTTAACTGGGAATGACATTTGACTTTTAAAACCCCAAAGCCTTCCCCTTGTGACCTACTTCCTCCAGAAAGCTGTACCTCCTAAAGCTTACTCAAATAGCACTAACAACTGGAAAACAAGTATTCAGATGACTGAGACTGTGAGAGAATTTCATTCAAATCACTACATACTCATGTGAGCCCTGTCTTCCAGCTTTTTCCATTATATTTCATTTAATTAAATGAGAAAGAAATTTCAAACTGTAATAGTGTGTGTGTGTGTGTGTGTGTGTGTGTGTGTGTGTGTGTGTGTGTGTATTGGCCTAGATCTTTCCAACTAGGCTAGGCTGGCCAGCCAGTGATCTCTAAGAATCTACTTACGTTTGCCTCCCCAGCTACAAACGTGTGCCACTTCATTCTTCTGTTTGTTTTATTGTGTTTCAACATGGGTTCTGGAGATTGAATTTGGATCCTCATGCTTGAGCAATAAGCACTTCCAGGTTTGCTACCCTAAAATTCATTGCATATCTCTGGGTTATAGTATATTCAGAAGAGGGACTTTATGGTATTTGTTGGATTGATCAAATCTCTTCTTTCTCAACTTTGTGAATACCAGCACATCCCTTTCTGCTAATCAAAGTCACCATTCTTAAGGATTCCTGGCAATAACATTTCTGTTAGTCAGCTTTTATCTATAATGTCAATGAGAATTCTTTACTTTCATTAAGATGTCCTGCTACTATATTTTTGGCAGCAGGGAATGCAGAGCATTTGTACTTAGAAATTTGGTTCTGAGTTCTATGTGAACTAGATCAGATTCTGAAAGTAGTCCAAAGAAGCCACATGGTTATCCAATGTGGGCTGTAATTTCAATAGTGTCAGTAAGATAATTAAATCACTCAGAGGACTCAATTTTCCATGCCAGTTAAAGGAGAGGTTTGCCTTTGTCAAGAATTGGTTCGTGGATGTTAACCCATGAGTCAAGTTATTTATTTAATCTTTCCTGTCTGTTTTCCATGCAGTAAGTATTATTGTATCTTTGAAACAACACAATTATTTGCTAAAAGAGTTGTTAAACATCCCATGCTCCCCCCCAAGTATGTCTTTGTAGGTCCTTAAATTTTTATTAATACATTACCAGGCTAAATTTCACATTATAGTTTCTGGGAATATGCTTAAGTATTTGAAACACTATTATGTTTTCTTTTAGAGGACTAATAAAAGAGAGCAATACTTATCCCGTTAAAAGAATAATCATTTGTAAAATGCGATTTTTATATAAAATTAACCATTAACTGTTAGCCTATTGATTATTTTCTATTGTTTAAAGTCAGTTTATTGGTTCCGTGTGTATTTTGCCAATGTTAGGTATAAATATATTCATCATGAGTTTTTTAATTAGCATGAACTGAATAAGATGTTAATCTGTTGCATTTGTGTTTTAATTCAAAAGTATATCAAAACATTTTTAAACTTCATTTTGAGATAACTTCAAAATTTAAAGAAGAAAAGCCTTTTAAGAATATTAAAAGTAACAATTTTTTCCAAGTCTCCTAGCCAGATCATCAAAATTTACTTTTTGGCCCATTTTCTTTATCCTTTCCATTTACCTGTTTATTTTGTCTAATGCCATTTGAAAATAAATGTCCACCAACTGAGGTGGATGTTCAGTCTTTTAAATTTTTTTCTTGACTCTGACACTTTCAGAGTGTTATTATAAGTTATCTTGTTTATATAGGTAAACTTACTAGTTTGGCTTGGACAATATACTGACTTCTCTTTGAAGTTCATTCATAGGGAGATGCTTAAAAATACTACATGACTATCCAGTTTTTAAATCATGTACTTACTAGTTTAGTGTTCATTGAGTGATTTTGTGTGTGTGTGTGTGTGTGTGTGTGTATTTCACTTTACATACGATCGCTGTTCCCCCTTCCTGATTTCCCATGTAATTATCAGTGGTCATAGGATAGTAAAGGACTTTCTAAAGTAATTATTCTATGCATCTGTTTCTTGATTATATTCCTAGAATAGAGTTGAATATTTTTTCAGAAAACATACATAACTTACTGGTATCAGTTTTGTTTTATTTTCCCTCAGTGTGCACTATTAGAAGCAGGCAAGGGATGCAGGGACACATGAGAGATATTTCTTGTATTTGGGCTAATATTGTAACACTGGGGGACACAGAACAAGAGAGCCACCTGGACAATTCTCTTTGGATGCTAAATTTTCCTAAATTTGGATACTAGTTGTCTTCTAGATAGGTCTCTACAACCTTGACATGTTTTCCTTGTTCCCTGGCCCTTTCTTTACTGGAGCATGCCACTGTGTCAGAGCTTTTCTTATATATGTTCTACTTTACATATGAGCACCATCTTTCTGGAAATAGTTTGTTGCCCACCAGGCGATTCAGAGCAGATGGCCTTTTTGAAGATAGTGTTTCCTTGGTGATTTCAGCTTGAAAAAATACTTACTATGACCGGTGCCTAAGTACTTCCACCGATTGTATGCATTGCATAAATACTAACTTATGCATAATAGATATGTATATATATATATTATATATGCATATATGTTTTATTCATAGAAAACATTTTCCAACAGTGTCTCACTGTATAGCCCAGACTATTTTTGAACTTACTCTTCCTTAGCTTCCTGAGTACTAGGATTACAGATGTGTATCATCATATTCCCAAACTGAATTTATTTATCTTCTGTGAAGTGTTTTCAAATCTTTTGCTTATTTAAAAAATATTTTGCTATTAAGTTGCATTAATTTTTTTATATAAGCCACACACACACACATATGAATTTTTTCTGGATACTTCTCTGGATGAGCAGAAGCATTTAGTTTTGATGAAGTAAAAAGTTAGAAAAAAAATGTATGGTTACTTTATGTTTAATTAAAAATAGCTCAGTCTGTACTTCCAGCCAATTTTTTTATGGCATCATCTTTGTAGTTTATAATTTTAGTTTTCATGTCTGAGCCTGGAACCCACTTTGAAGAGACTTTTGTAAGGTATGGGGTTATAGTTAAAAGCTTTTCTTTATTTTCCTGTATACATATTCAATTATTTGTACACTGTTTGGTAAAATTATCTATTTTCTCCATTGGTATGCTTTGAAACCTTTGTTAGAAGTCAAGTGAACATGCATGAGCTTTTTCACTTCTAGGTTTTATTGTATTCCACCACCCATCAGCCCACCTTAATGGCAATAACACATTGTCTTCATTACTGTAGACTTGTAATATATCTTGAATTTATGCACTTTTTTCGTTTTAAAATTGTTTTCACTATTCTACGTTCCTTGACTTTAGAAATTTTTTAGCTATTTGCCAAAATTACTATATAAACTTGCATGAATTTGTAGATGAGTTGAGTAGTTGATATTTTAATAGTATCCAGCCTATGTTCCATGAATGTGGTATAGATCTTCACTTATTTAAATCTTTATTATCCCTGTTTGTAGTTTTTTTGTGTAAGTTCTTATATATATCATAATGTGTTATGAAATATCATTTCATAATGTGTTATGAAATATCATTTCATAATACATAATGATATTTTCAATTAAAAAATTGTTTTTTTGAGACAAAGGCTCATTCATACCAGGCTATCCTAGAAGTCACTATGTAACCATCAAGGATGACCTTGAACTTCTGATCATCTTGCCTGTATCTCCCAAGGTCTGGACTCACAGACGGGCTCCCACCCTCAGTTATGCAACGTTGAGGATCCAACCCAAGTCTTCATGCATGCTAGGCAAGCATTATAGCTGAGCTACATCTGTAGCTTGCAAATAGAATTTGAATTTTTTCTAATTGTTTCCTTCTAGAATATTTTAAGTAGCTAAATTTATAAAGATTCATTTGTTTTATTTTTAATTATGTGTACATATATGCATGTGAGAACAGGTACCCAAACAGTGTAGAAACATCAAATCAAATCATCCTGGAGCTGGAATGACAGGTGGTTGTCAGCTGTTCAATATGGTACTTGAAACCTAACTTGGGTCCTCTGCAAGAGCAGTATGTGCTCTTAACTGCTGAGCTATTTCTCCAGACTGAAACAACTGATATTTTTTCTTCTTTTATTGAATATTTTATTTATTTACACTTCAGATGCCTTCCTCTTTCCCTATTTCCCCTCCCTAGAAGCCCCCTATCCCATCCCCTTCCTTTTTGCTTTCATACCAGTTTAATTACATGCAAGTATTAAGGTCAGTTCTAGGTTGAGGAACTAGCAATACAGTAGATACAAATAGTCAAGGAACAAGCATGGCAATAAACACAAATAGTCAAAGAATAAGCAAGGCAGTAAACAAAGTTCCATGAACATTCCTGTGATCACTGTTTCTAAGGGCTTATCAGGATGACCAAAATATCTGAGCGAATTTCCCTGTCCTAGCCCAAAGTCATTTTCATGTCTGATGCCTACTTCCTTGTTCTAGCCTAAAATTTAGAATCCTACCTGAAATTACTTCTTTGTTCTAGCCTAAGATTTAGAATCCTGCCTGAAATCACTTCTTTATTGTAGCCTAATGTTAGCTTCCTGCCTGAAGCCCACTTACTTCCTTGTCCTCGGCCCGTGTCAGATTCTTGCCAAGCAGCCCCACAAGCTCTCCGCCTCGCCCCTTTTTTATTTCATAAACAAGACTGAGCCTGTCTTAGGTCATTCTGCCAAGAATGCCTTCCTTACCAGTCATGGAATATGCATTCTCAAAAGCAGTGCATTTCTGTCTTAGGTTGGTAAGGCTCTGTGCAGAATCTTACCCATCCTTGGCTTGCCAGCCTGTTAATTTAATAACTCTGTTTGGGGGTCCATTTTCAGGTTCAAGCCATGTACTTTGGTTACAACATGTTGATGAACAACTGATATTTTATGTATAAATGTGAATCCTAATATAGCTAAACTCAGCTATAATTAATGCTGAGTTGATTTAGTTCAGATGATTTTTGTATTTTTTATACTTGTGGCCTCTTAACTGAGATGCTTGTAGGTACATAAGTTGATATACAAACAGTTGCTAATAATAAGGCATAAATACATTTTGAAACAGTCTTTTGATGTAGGATTTTGCCAGTTGTCAAGGATGAATGCAGACTTGCATGTGAAATAGAAGTGTTTGTTAATATTTACATAAGGGATTCAGTCTTGGCAAACTGTTTGATACTGTAGGATGTCGAGTATCTTCAGCATTTTCAGAGATGATTGATACTCTAGTTTTGAACGTGAATGAAGTGGCTGAAGGTTAAAGAGAGAAGATAGAAGTCTAGTTCTGACAAGTTTTAAATACAGCCCAAAGTATTTTATGAACTGTGGGTATCCTACAAAAGCTTTTAAAAGCAAGGATGAAATTGATTAGATGCTCATTTTTGAGAACTAACAGCTAATTGCTGAGAGTGGAGATAGCAAACTAGAGTATAGTATTTGAGCATAGTCTATCTTGACTTCCCAGTATTCATTTTTATCCATGCTGTCAGTTCTTAGCAGGAAGTGAATATGTGTTTCTGCCCATAAATCTATGCCACAGGCGTTCATAAAGCATCTGTAGTTCATATGAGAACACTTTGCATTATGAGTTAGTTGTTTGTATATGTATGTACTATATGATAATAAATATAAACTACACTATAATTCAAACAAAGTGAATTCCTACACTTAACAGGAATATAAATATATTTTAATTACAACTATAGTATATTTCTTAGAAAACTTGAAGAGTTTTGAAGAAATCACTAAGATGATTTCATGTGGTGTTTGTGATTCAGTTGTGTAGGTCTAGAGCTGTGCAGTAACAATATGATAAAAACATTTGGAACCTGGGACTTACCTTTTTGGTTTTTTGAAATATTTTTCACAGTGCTAACAAGTGTCCATTATAAGCTTCATTTTTGGTAAATGTTGATGGATGCAATGAATCACCAAACCAATCAAAACTCTAGAACTGTAGTGAATGAATAATTTTTATGTATTGGTACAAAATGTTAAATATTCCTATACTTATAGTTTCTGTTATCTCAATTGGCACCAATCCTTTCCTTTAACAGGTTGCTTCTATAACTGGATCACAAGTTTGCTGCACAAAGTACAATGTCTCGATCCCGGCAGCCCCCACTTGTGACAGGCATCTCTCCAAATGAAGGGATACCTTGGACCAAAGTAACAATTAGAGGGGAGAACCTGGGTACTGGTCCCACTGACCTTATAGGTAAGGACATGGCCTTGGATACACTCTGACAAGCTGTGTTTTATTATTAAAGTAGGATACATAGTTCTAAAATAGTGATCTCTATAAAATGAGCTGAACAAAAAGGAATTGTTTTCTATTCTTTCTTTTATGAAAGTTATTATCAGATTAGATCTATGCTGTCTTTCTACAAATACATTTTGAAAATTTGTCATGGCTAAGATTTATTCCTGTTTCTTCAACTTGGAGAGTCCTGTTTTTGCTATAATGAAACCTTAATACTGTTTTTAGAAATAGAAATGAATGTTGGGTAGTTGGGTTAGCATGCGGATATTAAATGTACTTTATAATAGATTATATGAACTACAAATGGGGTTGTAAAGGTGAGTTTCCAGGACATGCTGTTGGATATTGTTCTAATCTTTCACATGAATGTCTAGTCTCGACATTCTCACAACTGGTTTCATAACTGACAGAGAACCAGTGCTGAGTTCTAGAGTCTGAGCTCAAACTGCCTTCCCTGCATTAACTTCTGGTTGACTAGTTTTTGACCATCCAGAAAATGTTTTCTTTTTAGAGGAAGCAAATTGGAGTTTAGCACTGTAGTTAATAACTGAGGTTTGTGCTTCCCAGATAATCATCTTTACTGGAGTTACTTAATTATATTATGTGTAATTTTCTGTTTTTACCCCTAGCTATAGTTTTTGATAGTTTAGTAAACATCTCTTAAATTTATTCTTTCAAAGATAGGTGTGTGAAGAGTATGACCTTGAACTTCTGACCCTTTTGCCTCTTCCTACAAATTGCTGGGATTGTAGCCATGTACAACCATACTTGATATATGCTATGCTGCAGACCAGGGCCAGGGCTTTGTGTGTGCTAGGCAAGCAAGCATTCTACCAGAGGAGCTACATTCCAGCCCAAAGATTGTCAGGTCTCATCCACTGTCTTGACTTTGGACATAGTTCAGTCCAATTGTTTCTTTATCCATACTGGAAAATAATCCTTGGAATGAGTAAAAACCATATAGATGGAATTAATTTCTAAAATTATATTCTATATAGTGTTAAAATACAACAATTAGCAGTCTCTGTACATTTTGATTTTGCTTTAATTTTGAATGGTACTATTTTTATTTGACCAAGTGTATATTACTTTCATAACCTTGCTAGTTTAGCTTTCAACCTGCCACATCTATTGCCAAGAGCTCGTTTTTAAAAAGAGCAAACTCAACTTGTTAAATAATTTAAGTGTTTTTAACTGATATACACCTATAGCAGTCAAGTAAAACACTATAAAATCTACTTTTCTTGGAATTCTCTTACTTTTTAAAAACTGAGGCTAATCCAGGTCTGATGGTAACTCCTTTAACTTCAGCACTTGGGAGTCAGGGGAGGCAGATTTCTCTGTTTGGTTGAGCTCAGCCTGGCTGATAGAATTCCAGGCCAGTCAGCACAACATAGTGAGACTCTGTGTCAATGAACAAACAATGGAAATAAAAAAATTTCAGTGTCCCTAAACAATATAAAATGATGCTATTATATTTTATGATGTTAGATTTATTAGTTTTTTAGTAAGTAAGCAACAAATTAAAAGCTTAAGAAATAAATAGGTTACATGATCTTATTTTTATTTTGTGATAAAAAATAATTGAAGTTGCCCCCATTCCTCAGTTTGAATTATAGCGTTGTTACCTGGCAGGGTAATTAACTCATGAGTGATTTACAATACTTTGGTTTTACACTATAATCTGGTTGGGCATTGCTTTCAGTCACTCCTTGTTAGGAGTGGTGATGGGCCTGAGTTGGAGTTTATTAGAAGCTGAATGATTGAAGGCTAGTATAGTGTCCGTTTTATTAGGAAAACACTAAAGCAGATAAACCATCACTGAGAAGCTCCCGTGGAGACGTGAGAACTGAGAGTAACTCAGTAGTAGCCAAGAGTGTGTCTGTGAATCACTGTGCTCTAGCCTATGCGTGATACACATTAAATACCCAGTTTAATCCATTCAGTAGACTGTGTGTAACTGAACACCAGAAAAAGCACACACAAATTCTTTTTAGAAGACAGGTACATTTAGAATCTTTTTGGAAATGATCACTAAATGTATTCATGTATTTTAACACCCTGTGTTAATAACTTAAACTTCTAAATAGTAGTGTTTTCTGAAAACAATTTAAGTCTCATAGTCCAAGTAATCTCACTGCCTGGACTTAGCTGGAGTCCAATATTGTTCTAATTCTGCTGATGGTGGAAGAAGTGAAGGAAGTCTTAGGTATCAGAGAGAAACCAGATTCCACAGCATGTGTCAAGGACTGTTGACAGCTATTCAAACAGGAAACATTATTATTATTAGGTCTTTTTATTTGTAATTTGTTGTATACATGCTTTTACTTTCAGGCTTGACAATTTGTGGACATAATTGCCTCCTCACGGCAGAATGGATGTCTGCGAGTAAAATTGTCTGTCGAGTGGGACAAGCCAAAAATGACAAAGGGGATATTATTGTCACAACCAAGTCAGGGGGCAAAGGAACCTCAACTGTCTCTTTTAAGCTACTCAAACCTGAAAAAATAGGTAAGACTCTTAGTGACTTTATCCTAAAGAAAATTTATTGGGCTTTAGATGTTAAAACTGGTAGACTTTGTGTAAAACACACTGAACTCTCATGTCTTATTAGATGTAGTGTGTTTGTTTTGACAAAACTAAGATGTATCTCAGAGTTTGTGTTACCTTCCTTGGTTCCAGACTCTCAAGGTAGAGCCTGGAGGCTGGCTCTGACTTCCCTGTGCAGCCATTCTCTTTGAGAGGCAGTTGCCTGTGCTGACTGTCAGTCAGTGTGAAGACAGTTATTGTCTTTCCAAGTTCCTGGTGAGATCTGACCCCTTGGTGGTTTGGAATAATGGTTTTGGCGCCTTGATCTTGAACATATGTCATTACTGTAATGCTGTTATTCATTTAAGATTCTAAGTGAAATAGCTTCTACTCTGGCCACATTGGGGAGGTCTTCTTCTCCCAGGGCCAGATGACATGCAGCCCTCTTGCTTCTGTACTCTGCTTTATCTCCTCGAGTGCACTTCTTCTTTCTTATGTACTTACCCCCTGCTGCATTTAATATTTGGGTCTGAGGAACCAGACTTTGACCTCCAATGGCTGGGTAGGTACAATGCCTGTTTTCTGTGGAAGTGAAAGAAGAATGGTACCAACCATTATCTACCTCATAGGATTGGATAAGTTAGAGGATAACTGTGAAGTGTTAACACTTGAAAGAACAAATTATTAATTTTTAAATTATTCCAATGGGTACTTTATCTCTCTTAATAAAATATTGCTAGGTTCCTCATTGTGATTCTGTAAGATCATATAATAATATACAGACATAAAATTTTTGTCTAAAACTATCAATCCTAATTAAATTCACTCAGTATTTCTCTCTATAGTGAAAAATAAAGTTTTATCCATCTCAGCTCATAGAGGTTTATTCTATAGTGCTGGCCTCCATAAGTCCTTATATGTACTTTTGAAGTAAAAATATGTAAGGAATACAGGAAAACTAAAACTTTAATTACTATATATGTTAATATTAGTATACATTTGTGTACAGAAATATAATGCTATTTAAGTATATATATGTATATATGTATGTATATAAATATATATGTATATATATGTATACATATATATACGTATATGTATATGTATATATAATCTTTAGAAAGTGAACTCTAAAATCAAAGTATAAACCTATTTTACGGCTTTCTGGAGGAGATGTAAACATTTTCCTAAAATTCATCGTTTTATAATATTTGTTTATAGAGCAAGTGAAGAAAATTTAGGTGGAAGTGAAATTTTATTTTGAATACCTAGTTCTGGGTATTTAGAATGGCTCATAGATGATGAGGACCAGACTTAATGACAGCCTCAGAATGTGAGACTTCTGCATAAGCTTGTACTCAGCCCTTGTTAATGTCCACAATGGCTGCTGAAGTAGTCCGTTTACACAGAGTCCTGTTGCTGTCTGGTGTTCAGACAGCCTTCTTCTGGGAAGCCTCAGTGTCTGCCACTCTTAGTCTAAGTAGCAGGGCACACTTTCTCTGAGTTACTGAGTACTTAGTCCTGCTTTGTTGCAGCCCACAGTCCCTGCAGTGGTGAAGGCTGTGCTATGCTGAGTAGGGCAGTACCGAGCTTGGTCCCATGAAAGAACACTCTCTATAGAGTTTGTATCTTGTTTGCAGGTATGCACCTAGTCTGTTTTCCCTGAATAATCTGTTATTTCTGTTGTTACTGTGCAAGCTATGTATTCTTTAACTAATTTAATTGTTCAATATTTTATTGGATTTACTAAATTGGTATCAGCCTAAGATTTTTTTTCTAATCATATAGGACATTTCCAGCATTCAGCATAATGAAGATAAGAAATAAGTAACAAGGACTATGTTAATTTTGCATAGCTATCATAAATACGTGTTAGTGTTTAGAGAGATAAAGAGTGTTTTCAAAAACAATTTAAAAACATTTGCATTGCACCTGTAGTAAAATGACTTTGAATTATGGAAGTTAGGAAAAGAACCTTGATGTTAAATACGAGTCATACATGTGTGATGGCTTCTCAGCAGTCACATGCAAGAAGCTTGCTATGGAATTAATGCTTAACCTAGGTCTTTTATGACTTGAGATTGCTCAGGCATTTTTTCCAAAAAGTTCAGAGTATTTTATTGAATAAAGAGATATTGTAAGTTATATTATTATATCTTATATTTTGCTTACCAAATGATATTATCAGTTTAATCACTAATATTTAACAATGTACAAATACTTTTATGTTATTCAGAAAACATCTGTTTTTATCAGAATGTTTTGTGAGTGGCTTAAAATCATCTCCATTGAATAATGTATAGTGAAATCATAAATCAAGAAGTGTTACTTTTGCCATCTTATAGAGTCTCAGTATTTGTTATAAAGCCACCAGGCATGAAAAGAACGTGAGCTGTAGTGCCCTTAAATCTCTTACAGAACAAAGCACTGTGGTGTAATATAAAGGCACCTGGAGAGTCTCTGTCTTATTGAGTGCATATTCCTAACACTTACAGGCATTTTAGATCAGTCTGCAGTGTGGGTGGATGAAATGAATTATTATGATATGCGGACAGACAGGAACAAAGGGATTCCTCCCTTGTCTCTCCGTCCTGCGAATCCTCTCGGCATTGAGATTGAAAAGTAAGTACCATCTGGCTCTTTAATTTACCGGCTAAGAGTTTTATGTTCTTGAAGTGGAGGGATTCATATTCAGGGATATCCTGGAGAGCACAGCTAAAGGCAACTTACCCACATGGGTCATTTACTGTATTATTTATTTTGATTATTAACTTTTTATTTTTATGGTAATATATATGAGGCTTGACAAGTTTTGGTTCAGTCAGTGGTTTCATAGATAAAAATCTTTGACAAATTTATCTTAGTTTATTTGGAGGAATTTACATTTTATGATTAAGAATATTTTGAAATTTTAATAACTACTGTCTTTTGGATTGGGGGGTTGGCTGTGGAATGTGTGACTCTTACATGATAGGCAAGTCCCCCATTCTGTAATATACTCTTGATTAATGATATGAGCATCAGTACATTTTAATATGTTTAGATAGTATTTGACATCAGTAGAATTATTTATTCATTTGCTTCGATTCCTTAGAAATATTTTAGAATAATCTGGTCCAAAGGGATCTTTTGTTTTTGATATGTCCTGCCTAAATTCTTACTTAAGCCAGCCATATTTAGCTTTATTTATCAGAATTGTGCCAGTTAGTGATACATTGTTTCATAAGTGAATTTAATGTTTTGTTTTTATATTCCCAAGAATAGTCAACTTTTTTCATATATCATAAGCAATTTATCTAATATATAAATTTTATCTAATTTATCTTCTGGCCTTAGTAATTCTGATTACAGAGTTATGTGATGGGTGTTGCCTCATGAACAGTCAGAGAAGGTAGCAAGTTAGTTCTATTAATGTCTTACCCAAATCTGCATTTTGGGTTTTCTAAGAGTAAGGAACGTTTTTTTCCCCAATAACCTTTTAATATCTAACCTTCGTGTCTCCTCTTGATGATCATTAATACCAAAATCTTATTTTGGGTTTTCTAAGAGTAAGGAACATTTTTTTCCCACTAACCTTTAAATGTCTAACCTTCATGTCTGCACTCGATGATCATTAATACTTTTGAGAGCAAACTGGGGTTTCACTGCTATAGTGTCCCTGCTCAAGTGGATACAAGGGAGCCATTTTGGGTAGGAGTTGTTTGTTGAAAAGCCCTAGAGGGTAGCAGCTTTTAGTGAACTTGGGATGTCTAGGTAGCATATTTAAAGCAGGGAGCATTCTAAAACTGTTTCAGGGTTTTCGATATCCTGTAAATTAAGATTGGGACAGTTCAAAATAGAAGGGTAGAAGGGAGGTATGTTTGCATATATAGGCTTACAGTTGATAGAAAACCCATGAAGGGCCTGAATCAAAACTCCTGAAAGTTAGCTTCTTTTTGAGTCTGCTGTGAAGTGTGGAAAGGAGGGATCATTCTGACTGTTCTTCCTTAGCCTTTACAGATGAAGGAGACCAAGGGGATGCACATGCTCTGTAGGAGAGTTTGACAGAGCAGCTGTTTTGGTCAGAGTTCCTACTGCTGTGGTAAAACACCATGACCAAAAGCCACTTAGGAAGGAGAGGGTTTATTTCATCTTACCACAATTTGTTCACAGTATGTCACCGAGAAAATCAGGGTAGGAACCTGGAGGTAGGAGTTGATGTAAAGGCCATGGAGGAGTGCTGCTTACTGATTTGCTCTACAGTTTGCTCAGCCTGTTTTCTTACAGCACCTAGGACTTCTAGCTGTTGTGTGACAGAACATTTTTGGAGAGACACAGCTCACATGTCTACTCACCCAAGATAGGAATCCCATGACAGGCCAAAGTATGGATATCACCAAAGTCCAGTTGGTGAACCAATGAGTTTTAATGGAGTTACTTACAGGAGTATACCCAAAGGGCTTGCTTATAAGAGCAGAAAGACAGCTCTTCACTAAAGCCCACCCCAGCATGGGTGGGCTCACAAGGCTGGGAACATGAAATAGTACACAGCCTGTGGGCAGCTCAACAGGTTGGAGAGTGTTCTTTCTAGTAGATAAGTTTGCTTAAACCCCTTCTAGGTAGCTTAGCTTGTTTCTGCTTCTTCCAGGCAGCTATTCTCGTCTCAGAGTCTTCTTTTCAGCTCAACCTCACTTTGAGATTCTCTGCTTTTATGCTTACTCTACCTCCTCATAGGGACTTAATGAATCTGATCAATTTCAGGGACTTCCTGAAGCTATTTTACATTATTTACCTTCATATCCACAGTTATGTATGAAGTGAGAAGGCTTCCTACTCAGGACTACCGTAGCTCACTCTTAAGGTACTTGAGGGTGGAATGTTTTAACCTTGGAGGGAATTGTTACATAACACCAGCCAAACTCAGTACCACCAATAATAGGCAGAGCCCTATGGCTTACCTACAGGCCAGTTTTATACAGGCGTTTTCTTATTTGAGAGTCCCTGTTCTCCAGCTTGCATCAAGTTGACACAAAGCTGACCAGCATAGCAGCCAGGTCTCATTGTCATAGTTTCAACCCTCACTTTCATTCTTACAGATGTTCTTTCCATAGTTCTTGCTGCCTTATTCTCTTCTTATCTTTTGGCCTTGCTGCTGCTAGCCACAGAGCAGTTTGGTGTGAACCATCTCTAGTAGCATTGTAAAGTCAAGAAGGCAGGCAGAAAAAATGGCGTGACAAAAGGACTCAGCTTGCTTTGGAATTTCTTTAGTTTCTCTTAAGAGGTAGTGTCCTGTGACTTGGAGCCAAATTCTGGCTTTGAATTGGGCATGCAGGGTGGACTGCTGACCACTTGAGGTCTGGCCTGGCCTTCTCAGGCCTTCCTGTGGGCTCTTGTGAGGGCTGTGCATGAGGACAGGTGAGCACTGCAGCGTTAGTGGCTTGTGTGCTTAGTGATACGTTGCTTCTCTCTGACTCAGAACAAAAACCTCTTAAGTAAATAGTGTAACTACATTCTGTTGCTGTGTCCTGACCAAAAGCAACTTGGGGAAAAAGAGTTTGAGAGTCTGGAGAGATTGCTCAGCGGTTAAGAGCACTGACTGCTCTTCCAGAGGTTCTGTGTTCAATTCCCAGCAACCACATGGTGGCTCACAACCATTTGTAATGGGATCTGATGCCCTCTTCTGGTGTGTCTGAAGATAGCTGCAGTGTATTCATGTAAATAAAAATAAATAAATCTTTAAAAAAAAAAGAAAAAAAAGAAAAAATTCTAGGTTACAATATATTATTGTGGGGAAGTCAAGGCAGGAACAGAAAACATCATATCCACAGTTATGTATGACGTGAGAAGGCTTCCTGCTCAGGACTACCGTAGCTCACTCTTAAGCAGCCCAGGGCCCAGCTCAGGACAGGGTACCACACACATTCAAGAGGTTCTTCCCACAGTTCCCAACAGACATGCCTACCAGCCAACCTGATCTAGATGATTCCTATGTCAGAGCCTTTTCCAAGATGATTCTAGGTTGTGGCAAGTTGACATTTAAAACCATCACAATTAAGTTTACATAATAATAAATTGTGTTAAAATTAAAAATGAGTATTATTTAGTCAAATAGATTTTCTCCTCTTCCCTGTCTTCTTCTACTGCTCCCTCCCTCCCACCTCAGAAACCTCTGTGGATTTTCCTGAATTCTGTTACAGGAGGATTTTTTTATCCTTTTGTTTGTGCCTAAGGCTCTGTACTGAGGTGCACCTTGGCCCAGGTACAGGAAGAGTGAGGGAAAAGAGAGGCAGAGTGTCAGACATTAGTGAGAGTCTGCTTTCCTAACACACTTAATATCTTTTGGTAAAACTCTTTTGTTCCCATAATAAGGTTGTGTTGGGATTAGAATCCTTACTGCCTTTTGTTTTACTAATCTCCCTGTGTGAATTTCTTAAATCATTTTAAAAAAATTAAATCATTGGATGAAGAACATGGAGATTTTAATATTATTTACTAGTGTAAAAATAGTAACTAACAAGGTCTGAAGAAGTATAAATGCATATCATAAAATAATCACTTGTGGTCCTGGTGACTTTTCAGACTACGGGGAGGAGGCCTTTGGAAGATGAGGCAGCACTCAGTAGTTGCCCTGTGAATGTGAGATTCACTACAGCCAACTTAGGTGTGCAGTGGAAGGGTGAGGAGTCCTGTGGTGCAGTGCCTGGGTTCTTTGACTATGAAAAAGCAAGTGAGAATAACATAATATAGGCTCCTTGATGCTTTTGGTATGAGTCAGGTTTTAATATATTTTATTGGTGGACTCAGCATGCATGCCGTCATCTTTCAGCCCCACAAGTTTTTAACAACTGGCATTTATTGGTGCCTTTGACTGTTAAAGTCCTTCATGTTCCTCAATTTTTAACTGATGTTTTTGCACACATGGTGCCATGGTACTTATAAAAACGTTACTAATTGCTCTGAAAAGGTAACTTTGCTTTAACTGAGACTAGGCTGGGCTTGTAAAAGGTCTGTATTTCTGATTTACTGTGCTGAGTGTCACAAATACATATGTTCTTGCCTGGTTCCAGTTATAATGGATACAAACTATTTAAGCTGTAAAAGAAGATAAAAATAGGCTCATATTAAGTGAAAGTCCTCACTAGATTTTGTTTCTTGAAAGTCCTGTCCACCTAAGAAGAATGTTTATCAAGAATGTCTTGGCAGTGCACTGGTCTGAGGGGGAAGGCAGAGAAATGGAACTTGGCTCCTGTTTTCAGTCACCTCCCACTTTTTGAGTGAGCTGTTACTGGGGGTTTGTGTCCTGTATTCAATTGGTGCATAGGTGTTATCTGTTTTATTTCTGCATGGATTTTGGGCAGTGTGCATCTGGCTCTAGTCTCATTGAGTCACCTTTCCAACAGAAGGAAACAGTGACCAGTTTTCCCAGTACATTTAGAAATCTTCCTTTACAAAAAAGACAGGGTGACAGCAGGTGACATTCCTAAGAAGTGTCTCAAATTTAACTTAGAATTTTGTAAAAAAGTAGATTTGTGGGCTATGGTACAGTGCCTAAGTCCAAAAACTATGCCTTATTTTAAAATAAAAAAAATCCCCCAATATTTAATGTAACATTGTAAATTATGTTGTTGAAATTTAAAGCTGAAAGAAATAAGTATGACACATGCCTTCAAAGGACAGCATCAGTTCATGAACAGTCAGCAGCCCTCCTGCTCTCCAGCACTGCACCATGAGGCATGCAAGCACACAGCATGCGTTCTAGTATGTGCTTTACAGACATTCCTGTTGTATGTCTGTCTACTCAGGCACCCTTTCTAGAAGAATGAAGTCTGAGTTGACACTGCCATCTAACGGAAACATTTTAAGGGCAGCAGGTGTGATTAGTGACTAAAGTGCTTTGATTCCTTCCTGAGAGTATCTTGTGAGTTCTCATGGTGCCTCCCAGTTTCTCCCTCCCAGCTTGTTGGGGAAAGTGCAGGGGAGTCTGAACACCCTTCTTGTTCTCTCACATAGTTAAGCTGTTGTGATCCTCAGGAGTAAGTGGAACCTGGAGAGCTTAGGTGCTTTCCCAGGCTGTGCATAAAGGTGGAAGGCTTGGGGGCTGTGCTCTTATGGATACTTTGTCTCTGCCTATTCCCTGAGAGTTCTGGCATCAGTCAGCTGCACTTTGCAGCCCTTGTTTCTATTTCACATTTTCTAGATACACAGGTCAAAGATAAGTCTATTTTAGCTTATTTTTAAGGCTAGATATTAAATCAAGATGCCTTCAGCTATAGATAACAGGAAATGCCAATTCATTTGTCTTAAACAAAAAGGACATTTCTTTTTTCACGATGTACAAAATTCAGAGGTGACACTCTTAGTCATGTTCACTGAGGTTTGTGGAACTCAGGTTTGCTCTTCTGATAAACCAGTTTCTGTCATAATTATAAAATTTTTTCATAATTCCTGGTGTTAAAACTTGGAATAATGATGTCCAGGGGTAAAAGAAGGGGTTTTTGTTTTGTTTTTTTCTGAGTTCTCTTTAGAATGTGAGACTTTTTAGAATGTGAGACTTTCCAGGAAGATTCCCATTAGCTTTTCTCAGACATCACTGATTTGAGTGGGGTCTCTGAGTAAAGGGTAAGAGGAGAGCAGCACATCCTTGACTTGTAGCTGTCGTTGTCCCCAGTGCAGATGCTAGTGCTGTCTGGAGTGTCCCAGGAGGGACAACCCAGTGTAAGTAAACATAAGGGGGAAGCAAACACATCTAAAGGCCCTGAATGGAGGTCCCTGAAAGCCACTCTCATGGAACATGTGAAAATGTACACATGGCTCAAGTAGGGTTTAGTACCCACTGAACAGAGTACAGCCCTCCTGTGGCAGTACTGGCAAGGGTTCTGGAATGACCCTGTTTCCTCTCTTTTTATCCTGTCCTAGCCTTGGACCTGGAGTTTTAGGGCAAAAGTGCCAGGACCTGTAACCAGCAGATAGCCTCAGCTACCAACACCAGCAAGTAACTCTTTAAAGATAATAGCATCAGAAGCCACCAGCATTTCACATGTGGCTGTTGTAAAGAGAGTGGAGTGCCACTCTCTTAGAAAAGCCCATCTCATACTCCCTCACATACCTTACGCTCTTCGTGAGCTTGAAATCTCTGTTGAAGATGTCTTTTAACAAACCCAGCTCTGCTTCATAGTGGCTCCTCCTGAAATTCTTTTCTGTGTTGCTCCAGGATCCACTGTTATCTGGGCTAAGGTTTTTAAAAATGTAAGGGAGCCCCTTAGGCTGCTGTAGGTGACTGTGTCTCAGTTCCTGTTGCCTCTGACATGATTAGGAAGGACAGATAAGACATTGGTCTCAAGTCTATTTTCAGGTAACTGGCATGTACTTGAGGATAAAAGAAGGCAGGACTGGGGAAAGGGGCAGTAGGTGTGTATGATTTATTAGTCCTTGCCAAGGTGTGTTCTCAATGGTCACTGTCTCAGTTTAGGTTCTGTATAGTTGTTGAAGAAGTTCTTGTTCTGTGTGGTGGTTTGAATAGGAATGCCCCCCCCATAGACTCATGGGTTTGAATGCTTGATGCATATATGGGTAATGGCACTAGGAGGAATAATGGCCTTGTAAGAGGAATTGTGTCACTGTGGAGGCCAGCTTTGAGGTTTTATTTGCTCAAGCTAGGCCTTGTGTGGCAGTCTCCATCTGCTGCCTATGGATCAAGATGTAGGACTGTCAGCTCCAGTACTGTGTCTGCCTGTGTGCTGCCATGCTACTCTCTGTGATGATAATGGCCTAAACCTCCAGCCTATCAACTATTGATCATGGGTAGGAAAAGGAAGCAAAAATATTACCTTGAGGTGAAGATGAAGTGTTGGTCATAGTAGGCTCCTTAGAATGTGTGGGAGCAATGTATGTCATACTTGGATACTAAGGTTCTAGACACACATATAGAAACACTTGAACTGCCTTGGTTTCTATTAGTATAGGGGTGTTTCTCATTGAATAAAATATAAAGGTATCAGTTTATAAAGGGACGTTCTGTTCTGTTTATACTGTATAATTTGGCTTAAGCAGTCTACCAGGGCTGGGGAAACATTTTTGATAAAGGGCTCAGCAAGTCAGAGGAATAAAGTACACACAGAAATGACATGTACCAGAGGGTATAATCTGTTTGAGGCTCTGAAGCTTTTAGTGTGAGAACTGGAGTTGCAGAAATGTGTCCTAAGAGATGAGCAGGTTTAGTACAGAGAAACTATTGAATGTGGGATTGAGAACTTGGACTTCATCTTGGAAGCAGGGATGTGGGTCATCAGCAAAGCCTGGAAGGCTGTATGCCTAGGGACAGGGTCTGGTCAGGAGAGACATGGTGTGAACTTTTCCTGAGGAATAACAAACATCTGTTCAACTCAGGACAGTGACAGGACAGTGTTCACCTCAGATGGGACAATGACAGGCCAGTGTTTACCTCAGTTAGAACAATGATAGGCCAGTGTTTACTTCAGATAGGACAATGACAAGCCAGTGTTTACCTCAGATGGGACAATGACAGGCCAGTGTTCACTTCAGTTAGTACAATTACAGGCCTGTGTTCACCTCAGATGGGACAATGACAAGCCAGTGTTCATCTCAGATAGGACAATGACAGGGTAAAGAAATGATGCCACTTGCACTGGTTAATTTTAAATGTCAAATTACCACAACAAAACTTACATGGTAGGAAGTCAGTCATAATATAGAAAGTATATTCCATACATATATTCAAATATGTTCTTGATAGCTTATTGTATGTAAACATGCAGGCTTGTATATTAATTTATTGTGTAGTTCTTGGGAATGCTAGTATCAGAGCAGTTGTAATGCATTTTAACTCTTTTTCTCTTTAGATGTAAACTTCCTCAGAAGAACTTAGAAGTGTTATTCCATGGCATGAGTGCTGATTTTACAAGTGAGAATTTTTCAGCAGCCTGGTATCTCATAGAGAATCACTCCAACACCAGGTATGTGGACGTCAGATCCTGAGCACTGAGGGGCTTCAGATGGCAGGCTTCTGCAGTAACACCGAGTTAAATCTGGTTGCAGATGGTGACATAGCTGTAGGTCTGTGAGTTGATTTTGCTTGAGTCCCTAAATGTCAGTTTGTCTGTTTCTGTGTTTGTAAAATGTCATTTTTAAAAGACTTATTCCTGATCCTACCTGTAGTCTTAGAGAACTAAGTAGAGGACTGTCCTTGTCAGTCACATGAAGACGGTGATTCTGTGTGAAATGCCTTTCCTGATCTCAGAGCACAGAAACCTGAGTCGATTTAGTGATACGTGACAATAAGAAGGTAGTTGGCTTTCCAAGGTCACGTGTTCCTTTGACATTTTTCTATACTATAAAGATCACATTTGTAACTTTTTGCCAGATTGATTTAAAACAGCAACATTAGTGAAAACATTTAGATAAAGAGTTGTTACTTAAGATGTATATTCTCTATAAGTCAGTGGGTTAAAGTATATATTAACAATTTATTCACTTACAGAGGTGAAAACCATCATTAGAAAATATGAAGAAAAGTTGGTATTTTAGTACATAAATTTGGTCTGATAATGTTTTAAAGCAAGTTCTATAAGAGTCAGTTTATAATTGTAGAAGATTGCTTTAATTTTTCACTATGGACACATTTTTTTTTTGTCATAACTCAGAATTGATGTGTTTTGTGTATGGAGTTACTACTTAAAGCAATATTGCGGATTATATTAACAGATTTTTGTCATATCAGGTGGAAATAGAATTTCCAAAATACCTTTTCTCCCTCAGCTTTTGATGGAGATACAACGGTATGGCCTCATTTTTGTTGCTTTGTTGCAAAATTTTAAGCTAGCACATACAGTGGTGGGTTTTATCATGATACTTCACACATGCCCCTCATGTACCCTGCTTCTTGATTCTTGTTAAATTTCGAGTCACCCACAGGCTTTCTGTAATTTTGCCGTTAAGGACAGAGGACCGTGTATTGAGTGGTGAGATGAGTGTCGTGTTCAGGGTTCCAGGACACTTGCATGAGGGAGTGGGAAAATGTGGTTTTGAACTATAGCACCTTAACTAGGCCAGTAGAAGATACTCAGAACTTCTGTCTGTCAAGTCGTGTATATTATATCTACATTTGTACGTCTTAGGGACCTGACCTGCTTGCAATTATCATCTGTAGATATAAGACTAGTTCCATATCTCTTAGCTATCACAATAAATAAAAGGTTCAGATCTAGATAAGAATTTACAAAGTTTTTTGTCTTTATGTAGTTATTGAATTAATGAATACGCTTCACAGGAACTGTAGCATGTCTAGTGTTTTACATGGAACGCATTATCTCGTCAGGGGTCTCAGACAGTGGATTTCTTTTAATTTGTTTCAGTTTTGAGCAGCTCAAGATGGCAGTCACCAACCTCAAAAGGCAGGCCAACAAGAAGAGCGAGGGTAGTCTGGCGTATGTGAAGGGTGGCCTCAGTACCTTCTTTGAAGCTCAAGATGCTCTCTCAGGTAAGGCAGCCCTGAGAACCATCTGCTGGGGCTTCCACTGTGGAAACCTGACACTGTGCTCCCGCATGTTTATGGGGTGTGACATTTGGTCTGTATTTATAAAAGTAGAGGTTTAAAACGTACCATAAATATTTGTTGCAGACTAGGCTGGAATCTCTTTGAAGGCCTAGTACTATAAATATTTGTCTCTAAAGCTCTGCTGACCCATCTTACATGTGAAACAGGAGACTCCTATACCTCTCCATGATGCTCAGTCTTTGGGGCTGATAAGAAATTGAATCCCAATGGGCAAAGTTCTAGAATTCTTTAAGTCACTTTACAGATATCACATCTTACTCATGTGCCTAATTCTAAAAATGGTCCCTATTATGTGTTTTATTTGGAAAGGCCTGATGAAGATGTGGCATTGATTTTAGCCATTGCCCCAGAGGCCCCGACAAACACAGTCACAACTGCTCACTCTGACATCCTATTAGAAGAAAGAAAAATTGTGTTATCAGAGTTTTAGATATTGCAGTGAAAGATAACGAGTAGGTTTTTTATAAACTGCCTTTAGTTTATTTTTATGTATTGAAAATATATAATATGTGTTTTTATATATTACTAGTATATATAAATACACATTAATAAAATTTACCACAATTATTATTTTTAAAAATTAAAGTCCCTGTAACTAAGTACTTGTATGACATTCATTTGTTTGTTTATCTAGAGAGAAAGACAGAGAGAGAGAAGAGAGAAGAGAGAAGAGAGAGAGAGAGAAGAGAGAGAGAGAGAGAGAGAGAGAGAGAGAGAGAGAGAGAGTGTGTGTGTGTGTATACCATAGCACTTGTGTGGAGGTCAGAGGACAACTTGTGGAAGTCAATTCTTTTCTCCATCATATGGTCCCTGGGATGGAACTCAGACTGTCAGGCTTGGGGGTGGCACTTTTGTCCACTGAGCCACCTTACCCATCCATACCTATTCATCTTACTTAACTGTATATTAGAGGGCTACACCTTCTTCAGAAAGACAGATTTTTAATATTTAATATGTTTAAATATTTGATATTTAACTCTTACTGTTTTTTAAAAAACAAACAAATTCCTCTTTTCACTAAGTGAGTATCTCATATTTTTCTTTCCTTGTAGGTGGAAGTTAGGACTTTGGTTAGGTGAGATGTACACACTGGGAGGGAGTGGACCAAGGGGAGTCTCTTCTTTGGTAACCCGAGGTGCCTTGTGGTTGCTGATGTGTTACTGATGTTGCTCTGCATTACCAGGATTTGTTTCTTGGCAATCAGAGAGACCTGAGCTTGTGTGAACAGCTTCCTGTTGTAGTGCAGATACAGTACTTACCAAACATTTCCTCTAGAACAGTGGTTCTTAACCTGTGGATCATGACCCCTTTCACAGGGAATGCCTAATACCGTTGTAAAACACAGATATTTATAGTATGATTTATAACAGTAGCAAAATTACAGTTATGAAGTAGCAATGAAAATAATTTTAAGTTTGGGGATCATTACAGCAAAAGGAACTGTGTTAAAGGGTGGCAGTGTTGGGAAGGTTGAGAACCACTGATCTAGAAGTATGTGGGGAGCTTCAGATTGAACAAAGAGCATACTGATATTAGTATATAATAATTTAATTACTTTATAGCATGTACAAAATAATTATCATAGTCAGTTTGACAAAGTCAATTTGAAAACATTATCAGCATGCCATAAATCTGGCTCCTTTGTTTTTTTATAGAAAGAGAAAAGATATTGTTGAAAACTAGAAATAATAAACAAGTTATTTTACTGGTGAAGGTAATCATGTTAACATTGTGATGTATTTTCTTTGAGTCTGTTTTTCTTTGCTAACATGAGTATAGTACAATGAGGTCATATCACATGTAGACTTGTGTATACTAGAAATCGTTTTTTCTTTTCTTTCATTAATTTATTTTACCTGGTCATACTCATTGTGCAAAGTGATTTTTTTCATAATTTTTTTCAAATATGTTATGTCCTTTAATTTTATTTACTTCCTGTCCAGCCCCTCCTGTTCCTGTCTCTCAGGTAGCTTCCCTTCCATTTCCCTCTGTGTGTATGTGGAGAAGATGTGACATCTGGATCTGTTTACTTCACTTATTACGAACTCCAGTACATCTTTATTCATGTAAAGACACAATTTCATCCTTAATTGTGCTGAATAAAACTGCTTGTTGTTTATTAAATCATCTATCTATCATCTATAATCTATCACATGTTCCTTATTCATGCATCTGTTAGTAGGCACCTATGCTAACTTGATAACTTGTCTGTTGTGTAGAACACTGCGGTAAGCGGGATTTGCAGGTCATCTCTCTGGGATGCTGACTTAGCTGCCTTTGAGTGTATTTTCAGTAATGGTATATCTGGGTCATATAGTAGCTCTATTTTTCATCTTTTGAGGGATCTTCATAATGGCTGCACTGGCTTATAGCAGTGTATAACGGTTCTTTCTCCCTACCCAACCCTTGTATCCTTGTCAGCACTGTTTGTTGTTTGTCTTTTCTTGATGATCATACTTGGATGAGTGAGGTGGAATCTCAGTGTATTTGTGTTTGACTTTCTCTAATGACTAAAGATGATTATCATATTCTCATCTGTCTGTTTGGCCTCTATGGATCATCTTTTGAGAAGTACCCTTTCATTTCCTTTTCCCATGTGTTAGAACTACTATGAGGTTTGGTATGTAGTTTTTTGTTCCATCCGTATTCTAGATATCAGTCCCCTGTCAGATGTATCATCAGCAAAGCTTTTCTCCATTCTATAGACTATGTCCTTGGGGATTATTTTCTTTACTGTACCAAGGATTATAATTTCATGCAATCCTATTTGTAAAATCCTGGTTTTGTTTCCTGAATAATTTTAGTCATTTTCAGAAAGTCCTTGCTTGATCCTGTATTTTGAAAGGTTTTTCTGTTTCCTTTGAACACTTTCACAATTTCAGGATTCATTTTGTACCTGATGGTTGGAGATTTTTGTTGTTACTTGTTTGCTTGTTTTTTAAAACCAAGTGAGAAATAGGGATTTAGTTTCGTTCTATGTATATCCAACACGTGGATACCATTTCCCCAACACCATTAAAGAGGCTGTCTTCAGTATATGTTTTTGACACCACTGTCAACATTTTTTCAGTCCTCTCTTTTATTCCATTAATCAGTCTCTCTCCCTCCCTCCCTCCCTCCCTCCCCCCCCCCCCCCCCCCCCCTTCCTCCCCCCCCCCCCCCTTTCTCATGTGTGTGTGTTAGTGTTAGTACTGTGCCTGGGTGAGTGGGGTCATCTAAAGGAGAATGGGTAACACTTCAGGACCTGTATCCTGGATCAACACTAACATGCTGTGGTGGTTTGAGTGTCTCTCCCAAAATCTTAGTCATATGATTACTTGTACCCAGTTGGAGGTGCAGTTTGGGTATACTTAGAAGGTGGGGCCTTGTTAGAGGAAATATGTCAATGAAGACAGGCTTTGGGGGTTCAGACCTTTGTTCCTTGTGCACTTTCTGTTTTGTGCTTTTGGTTCAAGAAAAAGGAAGCTCTCAGCTTCCTTCTCAAGCAAATACGTGTTCACTCTGTCATCAGGACCTGTGTCCTAACCCTCTGGAACCATAAGCCTAAGTAAACCCTGTATTTATAACTTGCCTTTGTCATGGTGCTTTATCATAGCAATAGAATAGTCACTAATACACACTTCCCTCCTCAACATCCATCAATTCTCAGTAGCTCCTCACATAGGGGTGGAGCTTTATAAACATCTCTCCACTTCTGTGTTGGCTTGATATTGGATAGGTCTTACATATATAATCCCAGCCCCTGTGAATTCATGTGTACAACAGAGTTATTATATCTGACAAATATTCATTCACTTCCTCTGGCTCTTACAGTCTTTTTGTGCCCTCTTCTGTGCAATGATTCCTGAACCTTGGTGTAGGGAGCTCTGATATAGATGTCCAATTTAGAGCTGAACGTTCCTGTCTCTTTATACATTGATCAGTTGTAGGTCCCTATATTGATATCCATCTACATAAAGAAATGTCTCTAATGAAGACTGAGAAATGCACTAATCTATGTCGATGAAGATAAGAACTTTGAGTGCAAGTTATTATGATGGTTCTCCTCTAGGATCTTGCCATCCATGGGTTTTTGTGCCACTCAACAGTCAGATATAAGTTCTCTTATGGAAGAGACTTTGAATCCTTTTGGAAAGTGTGTCGGTTAGTCCCATGACATTCCTGCCACTTTGTACCAGTGGTCATGTCTTGCCAGTTACTATGACTCATGGGATCACAGCCAGGTAAGAATGTTGATGAGGTTTCTTCCCTGAAGCATATATAGCATCTTCCAGAATATGAAAGCTAGATAGTAGAGATAAGGTTTCTAGGTTAGTGCCAGATGGATTTTTCCATGTCTTGCCATCAGGTTCTTGAGGAAACTAAGAACAATGACAGTAGCAGTGGAAATGATGAAACTGGAAGGGTCTGTGAGACCTCACTGACCAGAAACTTGAAAAGAAATATACACCTGTCGCTCAGCTTTTTATTTGTCTATGGCTTGTGGCATTGTGTCCCCATACCTTCATTGTAGGCTAACTCCACTGTGTTACTTGTACATGTATGCATATGTGTACACACATATATGCATATATGTGAATATATGCATTTTGTGAAAGTTCTACAAGAGTAGGTTTCCTTATTGCATTTTCAAAGGTCTTGTGTTAGTTATCTCTTCCCATGCTCCCTCTTCTTCCCTGTTCTCCTATTCATACCCCATTTAACCTTCCTGTTTCAATATTTGTTTTTACCCTTTCATACAACTTGTGTTCTATACCACTTCCTATGAAATGTCACCTTCCTGCCATGGTCTTGTACATATTTCCTGCCCACTATATATATTCCAGATGTAAAATGTTTGGAAATTCAAAGGTAAGATCCACATATGCAAGAAACCAGGCAGTGTGTTATCTTTCTGGATCTGGGATACCTCATTTAGAATG